AGGAAATCTTGACTTTTGAAAATCAAAACCATCACTAACTAACTCCACTTCCAAAGGATCCAATGCCCTCTTCTGGCCTCCATGGACATCCCGTGCATGGGGCCCACTTACATACATGCAGACAAAACACTCATGTGCATATTTACTAAATAAATAAATAATTTAAAAAGAAAATCAAAACTCTTTTCAAACTATTTTCATTAGCACGTGTTTCAAAATCTTAGACTGACCTTTCTTAAAAAATGTCTGCTCTTATAATGCTATGATATCTACAATAATAATATATAATCTAGGCCAGCGTGGTGGCACACAGCTTTCACCCCGGCACTCGGGAGGCAGAGGCAGGTGGATCTCTGTGAGTTCAAGGCCAGATTGGTCTACATAGTGAGTTCCAGGACAGCTGGAGCTACAGGGAGACCCTGTCTCAAAAAGACCAATAAAATAATAATAATAATAATAATAATAATAATAATAATGCCCTGGTTTAATGTCACAGAATAGAAAGACTAGGATAGCAGAACAGAGCTGAATGGGATGCAATAGAATATATCAGAGGATGCCACATATAGTAAAGATAATTATTGTTTGATGAAACTTTTGTGTCATTTGTTTGTGAGTGAATTCTGATTTGCAATGCAAAACCTACATCTTCCAATGGATTGTGACTCCAAAAAAGTTTTTTATTTATTATTTTTATTTTATGTGCATGAGTATATTGTCTTCATGTGTGTAAGTGCACCTGTATCATGCAATGCCTTCAAAGGTCAGAAGAGGGCATTGGATTCCCCTGAACTGGAGTTACTGACAGTTGTTAGCCACCATGTGGGTACTGGGAATCAAGCCCAGGTCCTCTGTAAGAACAGCCAGTGTTCTTAATCACTGAGCCATCTCTCCAGCCCCAGTGACTCCAAAAGTTTAAAGCCATGGACTTAAGTTTTAATAGAGGAAGTGCCAAGAAGGAAAAAAATGATTAGAAACAAATCTGTGAGTTGAATATGGAAAACTTTTTGGCAAAGTGTGGTGGTGAGCAGGAAGACTAGTTGGAAACTGTCCTTCTGGCTCCAGAGAGCAAGAGGGAACCTGTGGAGGGGGTGAACTATGAGTGCAGAAGTAAACCTTGTGAGGTCACACTCATAAAGAATCTGGGAAGTGACTGGAATATGAGGGAAAAAGCCATGGGGATTCTGAGAGCAGACTATAGTAGTTCTCATTGCTACATCATAAGTAGGGGAAGGACAGCCTTGAACTTGTCAAAGTAGAAAGTCCAGTTAAGGAGCAAACTAGCATGGGCCCAGGCAAACTGCTTTTCTGGCTTATGGTTGGTGCTTCTGGGTCATCAAAAGATCTAATTCCAGGCCCAGCCTGAAGACACTGTAACTGGAACAAGACTGTTTTCCTATTTACCTGCTTCCCTAATACCAAACACACACAAGTAACCTGTCTGTTCAGGCCACCTCATATGGCAGGAAGAATATAAAATTTATGGTCAGGACAGCCTATCTCTAGGCCTGTGGGCTATGCCTGGATGGATTTGCAGTCTCTTAACATTTAGAACAGGGCTGGTAAGACCTACATAGGTACTTGAAAGGTATGCAGAGCCAGCACCATATGCAGTAGCCAGCAGATCATATATGAGTCCTCAGGAACTCAGAGCTACTTTTATCCCCAGGGACCAAACTGGAGCTGTAGTTGGGCTATGAGGACCTAACTGATTTCCAGTCCAGGGGTCCCCAGGCCACCCCAGTTTGCTCACTAAACCAATAGGCGCTAGCTTTAGTCTGTTCTGAGGCACAGTATTGAGCAAGCTTGGGGCAATGGACATAGCACACTTGCTTTGTCACTAAGTAAGGAGGTTCCACTGTGCATCAGTAAGAAGTGCTGACCTTTATTCTATTCCAGGAGTTGACTCCTGGCCTATTGGCTGGCTTTGACCTTGGGCCAGGAAATCTGGTCTGTGCTCTTTCTGGGTTCTTGGCCAGAAGTCTGGCATACCATGCTGCAGACAAGCCTGATCAACCATGCAAATCTGCTGGAATATTTAGAAAGGCTTCAGTTCAGTCCTGCCTCACTATACAAGATTTTGCCTCTCCATTCTCAGCCTGGTTGGTGGATTCTTCCTACTCCTCTGACCTGGCTCAGCAATCAGCTCTCACTTGGTCCTTCTGTACCTCGGGTTAGGTGTTCTTCCTCTGTGCTTCTTTCCAACACCATGTACCCCTTAGTTAGACAGCAGATTTCTGCTCCAATGCTAGGCACTCAGTGGGTGCTTTGTCAAGTGCTTACTGAATTAACTCTTAGACCTGGCTTTTGGTGCTCAGCCACTATGTTCTGTAAAGACCTTGCTTTATTTCAGGGTCCAGAGAACAGAGGAGGCAGCCCAAATGAGATAATCTATCCCTAGCTATTCCCTGGAAACTTTAAGGGCTCTGTCGGAGAATCCCATGAACATGGCTTTAATACACAGTTATATGTGTCCCATTTCTGGGGAGACATATGAAGGATTTCTGTATGGAAAAAGGAGAGCTATCTTTCTACTCTTGTGTTGAAGCTATCTCAGTTCTGCCAATCAGGGCCCAAGAAAGTCTATCTCTTGACAGAAACAGGCTATGAGGGGCTGCTGGCCAGCCAGTATGCTCTCTGTCCCCCCAAGGCCTGTGGTAAATGGAAGGCGGAGGAGAGGCAGTTCCAGTGCAAGACCCAGGAGTCAAGGTGAACTTCTGATCTTCAAGGCCTTTCCGTAATAACTTCATTTACTCCCTACTGCCGATGAAAGACACTTTCCATGGCACATAGTCTATTCCTCTGCCCTGGGTCCCTGGGCCTTAAGAGTAGCAGATGGGAGCAGAGATGTAAGGTGTATGTGGCTCTCATCAAATGGCTGGTGGCTGGGATGCCCATGGAAGCCTGCACTAGACAGATCCTCATTGTGGCCCGAAGGATGCAGGGCTGTAAGGTCCCCTGAAGCCTAGGGTGGAAGGAAAAGCTCGCAAAATGGGAAGGCATGTATAAAGCTGGCCTACATATAAAAGAATGTCCTCAGAAATGGCACTGATTGGTGGGTATGGTGGCATAGGACCCTATCTAACAGAAAGATAGAAAATGAAACAGCATTGAGAATTAGAAGAAGATGCTGTTTCTCCTCCACTAGGCTATCATCTACAATTCACACAATAACAAGGATTGGCAAGAATGTGGGGACAAATGCTGGGCCAGGTAGCAGGCGCTTTCCTAGAGCTGGAGAGAAAGGCAGAGACAGATCTCTGGCACTTGCTGACCCAACATAGCCTACTCAGCCAGTTTCAGGTCAGTGAAAGACCATGTCTCCAAACAAACAAACAACAAAACAACAACAAAATTCAAACAAAACAAAATGAAACGGTGGATGGCACCTGAAGAGTAGCACTCAAGGGGGCTGGAGAGATGGCTCAATGGTTAAGAGCGCTGCTCTTGGAGAAGATCCAGGTTCAGTTCCCAGCACCCACAGGGTGGCTAACAACCATCTTAACTCCAGTTCCAAGGTATCTGATGCCCCCTCTGGCCTCCACAGGCATTGCATGCACTTGCATGCAAAACGCTCATAAACATAAAATAAAAATAAATAAAGCAAAAAAAAATTTAAAAGAAGAATGATATCAAAGGTTGTCTTCTGGTCTCCATAGGCAAGTTGCATACATATGCACATGCACACACCTGCACACACAGACATGCACACACACACACACACAAATGTGGAGACAGTGGTAGGAATGTGAAATGATCCAGCTGCTTTGAAAACCGTTTGATATTTCGCCAAAAAGAGTTACCCAAGTGACCTGGCAATTCCACTCGAGGTGTATCCAAGAGAAATGAAGATGTTCACACAGACTTATAATGTTCATAGCGGTTTTATTCATAACAGCTGGAAGTGGAAACCTAAGTATCCAAGGACTGGTGAATGGCTAAACAAAACGGTGTACATACAGCAACAGATTGCTCAGTCGGGGATGGGTCTGAGGCACCCCACACCGGACGGCACACACCCACAGGTGTGTGAAGGAAGCTAGTCACAGAAACCTCATTTATAGGAAATGTCCTGAATAGACAAATCCACGGAAGCTGAAAAGTAGATTAGTGGTTTCCAGAGAGTGAGGAGAGGCTGCGCACACAGGTTTTTATTTGTTGGGGGGTGGGGAGTAGTGGCTAAAATATCTTGGAATTAGATCCTAACTACGGTTGCGCAACTTTGTGGCTATAACAAAACCAATGGGAAAAGGTGTCATTTAACGGTACGTGTGGATCAGATCTCAATTCTCATAAACCGGGTGGGGTGGGGGTAAAGGGGGAGAGCACTAGCCAAACAAACAACGAAATGGTGCGCGACTGTCGCCTCCTGTCCAGGTCGCTTCCGATTGAACGAACTTGGAGGCCTGGAATGGCGCACCCATCCAACTCTGTCAGCAGGCCCTTGGAAGAAAGAGATTCTGGGGACGCTGTGACGGGGGCGACAGGGATCGCCAAGGACTGGGGAGGCGTCTGCGGGTTCCGAAGTTGGCGGGCCACAGCCGAGCGCTGAGGCTTTTAAAGACGCCCGGGGGCGAGTTTCCTTTCCGTGTCCACCTGAACGCTGCGGGTAGGTCCGGGTGAGTGCGCGGGGCGATGCACGGGCTGGGGTCGCGGTGGGGGCGGCGGGCGGGCTCTCCCACGCCCTCGGTGGAGCTGGGTCTCGGGTGAGCGCAGAGATCGGAGCGGGAATGCACTAGCGGCTCGGGTGCGCG